TTTAGGGTTTAGGGAGTTTAGGGCTTTAGGGTTTTAGGGTTTAGGGAGTTTAGGGTTTTAGGGTTTTAGGGTTTAGGGTTTATAAAGGGTTTTAGGGTTGTAGGGTTTTAGGGTTTAGGGTTCAGCCGGAAGCCCCCGGTGACATGCAGGGTTTAGGGTTTTGAATGCCGCGTTCAGCAATTTCACTTGGGGCTTTAGGGTTGAGGATTTATGGCTCTTTGCTTACAGCTTTAGCTTTGGTGGACTGTATTTTTTTTTTGGGGGGGGGGGTATCAGGGTCAACCCGCGACCCAGAAAATCTGGGTTGGCATAGCCGTGGAATATTTTCCGAAGCAACATTCCAAATGCAAAGGCCCATACTGTATGGCATTTTGAGGAATTCGGTTTGTGAGCCAAGCCCTGATCCCTACGAGAACGCTGAGAACCCAACCTCGCCCAAAAAACCGTTTGCCCCAAGGGTCCAAGACTTGCTTGGAGATCTGCCCAGACGACACCGAGCGATCAATTAGACAGCTGGGAAGACAGATCATGTACGGCAGCCTTGCTGCCTAACAGTGACCAGCACTGGCCAAGGTCTTGAGCCAAAACTTCCAAACCGGAACGCGCTTCAACCTACACCCTGGACCGTAAATCCCCTAGACCAGGCCCTCTAGACCCTGAATTCACACTTGCCTGTGAGGATCCTCACGCAGGCAGGTCAGATGCTGTCGTCGCTGCCTTAACGCGGAGCAGGCTGGAGAATCGCAGCCTTCTCTAACCCTCCAGGTGCTTACTATACAGGGTACTAGAACCGTTAGGGCTTTATATAGTAAGTAACCGGAGGGTTAGGGCTTCTTTCATACAGGGGGCTTGACAATTCCACTGGGGTTTGAGGGCTACGATTACTCAGCAAGGACCCCAAAATGCTGGCAATACCAACTCCCGTAGGCCCTATAGGCCCTAAACCAACTCTTTAGGCCTTATAGACCCTATAAACCCTAAACCTCTTTAGGCCCTAAACCCTAAACCCTAAACCTCTTTAGGCCCTAAACCCTAAACCCCTAAACCCTAAACCCCTAAACCCCTAAACCCCTGAACCCCTAAACCCCTAAACCCTAAACCCGAAACCAACTCGCACTATGTGCAAGTTTAGGGGCTCGGTGGTTTCGGCGGGTTTTGGGTTGGGCACCCTGAGCTGCAGGGCTTCGGTGCACGGGTTTTGGGACAGCATTGTTTAGGCTTTAGAGATTCTAGTTTAGGGTTTAGGATTTAGGGTTTAGGATTCTGGAGTTGTGGGGTTCAGGATTTTAGGGTTTAGGGTAGGATTTAAGATTTAGGGTTTAGGGTTTAGGGTAGGATTTAGGATTTAGGGTTTAGGGTTTAGGTTTTAGGGTAGGACTTAGGATTTAGGGTTTAGGGTTTAGGGATTCATGAATTTAAGGTTCAGGATTTGGGGTTTGGGGTTTAGGGATTCAGGAATTTAGGGTTCAGGATTTAGGGTTTAGGGTTTAGAGATTCAGGAATTTAGGGTTCAGGATTTAGGGTTTAGGGCTTAGGGATTCAGGAATTTAGGGTTCAGGATTTAGGGATTCAGGGTTTAGGGATTCAGGAATGTAGGGTTCAGGGTTTAGGGTGCAGGGTATGAGAGCGCATTCGCCAGGTATGTGAGCTAGCACGCAACTCTGAAACACCATTTTTTGCTCGCTCTCGAGAGCGCTATGGTTTGCAAGCGCCTGAGTCGCTATCTCCTTGCGAAGCCTTCTCGTTAGCACTTGCCAGACTAGCACAAGGAAAAAGTAGGCTCTGGCAATATAACCCCTTCCCCCTCTTCTTAGGCACCACACCGCATAATGGAAGCACTTTTCGGAAGACTCCTTGACATTATCAACGCTTCTTTAATCCTAACTGGATGAGGGAGTTCAGGAGCAAGGTCAAAAGCAGCAGGACCAGGAGCAAGAGCAGGAACAACAGACAGAGAAGGAGTAACAGCAGGAGCGACAGCAAGAGCAAGAGTAGGAGCAGGATCCACGTGACAGTAGAGATAAAGATCACCGGATCAAACAAGCGCTTTTCGAGGCCCTCCGTTTCATGTTAGGGAGAAGGGATTAGAAGCTACCGGAGAAGATTGAAACCAAGATCGCGGACTCGATTGTCTTGAGACATATGCGATTATGGCCTTCCAAGAGCCAATGGCCCGATTATACTTGACTCGACCGGCTCTCGGGGACAGGAATGGTGGTGGCAAGCCTACTCCCGCCGAGAGGTTTTACTCGCTCTGCTCGTCTCTCAGATCTTGGATGAGTGTGGACCCGGGTGTGCTTCTGCCAGTGGCACAGTTTGGGTCTGGATCATGACAGCCAGAATTACAAGTTCCAGTTTCCTGTTCAGCCCTGATCCAAGGGGCAAAACATAGCTTCCTTATTGGGGTAGGGTAGGCTTTTGAGGTATATGCCCTAAGAATTCCTCGTATTGATTGTTCAGGCCCGACTTCGAGCCTCTAGGAACTTCTTTAAAGCACAAAAACTCCTGAAGATCGCTGTCCGACGCTGATCTCTGACCCGCATATCATCCTTGGAACCCAGACTCCTAAACTGTCCTAAACCCTACAGCTGAAACCTTCTGCCTTATCGTCATAGTTAGGATAGTGAGTGTTCAGGGGGATATTATAGTAGGAAGAAAAGAGAAACCCTGAACAGCAAGGACCGCTTCAGCGTTGTCAGGAGGAATGTGGTCAAAAGAAGTTGGTGGAGTCCAGAGACCCGACATAACTACCTTGATCAGCCGCTTCGACTATGCTCAGGACGGACGACATCACATCGAAGTTGCGACGACTTCCAGAAATGGGAGTTTCCGAAAATAAGGGGGTACCTTATTGTGGGGTCCTCATAATAAGGATCCTACTATTTAGGGTACTGTATTAGGGTCCCCTATTTTCGGAAACCCCCAAATGAAGTCGGGAAGAATCGATTGCATCCCATCCTGCGCCTCCGCCGTCCTTGTTCCGGGTTCTATAGCTGTGGGCTGCGGCGTCGTCTACAGTCACACGAGACACCCTAATGACTGAACTCATATGTCAGGCCCCTATATTATCGGATTCAAAGTCGTCCTGCGTGGAATTCTGGGTTCTGAGTGCTCGTTGGCGGTGTTGTTTTTTTTGGGAAAGGGCCTGCTGCTGGAGGTTTATAGTGCACAGGTTTGGGATTAGTTAGCATTATGACTGATTGTAGTTTCAGCGGTTCGATGTTGGAGGGGTGATTCTGACACCACTAAATCAAATAGGGAGGTTGCTTTCGGAACTGAAACTTTCATGCAAACCTTATGTAAGCACTGTTTGTTATAGAACCTTTTCCTTGTGTGGCTATGGCGCAGCCCTCCCTGCACATGCTGAGCAGAATGGAATTTCTGGTCGAGTTGGAGGAAGACGAAAAGTGCACCCAACAGGGCGAGCTTTTTATAGCCTTCAAGGATCAACTCTCTTTCCGCTTGCTGCACACGAGCTACCACAAAGGACAAGAGCCATTGAGGGGTGGAGCTGGATCATGGCTCCCACCTATATGAGACCATAGCCCGAAGTCGGAAGCTGTGAACGTGCAAGCCAACACAGAGACTTTTCAAGCCCGTGCTCTAATCCGAAATCCCGAATTCCTGAAACGCGAAATCCGGATCCTGAACCCTAATGGAAAAAAACGCATACCTGCAATTCCGACAAAGGCCCAGAGGCGACGCAATCCCAGCAAATCTCTGCCCTGGAGGCACCGAGTTGGGGATACTAAGGTTTAGGGTTTAGGGTTGGGGTTTAGGTTTTAGGTTTTAGGGTTTAGGGTTTATGGGTTGGGGTTTGGGGTTTTGGGTTTAGGTCTTTCAGTAGTGACTCTTGAGATTGCATGCGGGCTTCGTAATGAGTGCTTCAGGGCCGGGCCGCTGGTGGGAGAACGCCCCAACACGATGACCCGTAAACCAAAACCCTAGAAATTAAACCCTAAACTAAAACCCTGAACCTTAAACTCTAAACCAAAACCCTAAAATGAAACCCTAAACTAAAACCCTAAACCTTAAACCCTAAAGCAAAAAACTAAGCCCTAAACCAAAACCCTAAACCTTAAACCCAAAAGCAAAACCCCAAACAAATCCTACAAACCGTGCCTTGGGTACTGGTATTGACTCCCTGGGGGCCTTCCTTTGAAACTGCCCAGCAGCGGCTTACAACCCCTCTACTAAATACGGACGCCCATGTACAACGAAGATGCAGATGTAAGCCCAGCCTCCATCTACACTGGAATTTCCGACACCTCCTGGGCCCTTTCAGCCCTGCAGGCCTTAAGCCCTTCCACTGAACCCTAGACCCTAAACCCTGGCCTTTAGGCCATGACAGCGTGCAGATTGGGTCGAGGAATCCTTATCTCCCGAAGTACACTACCAGCCCTGAGAATTTAGGGTTTAGGGTTTCGGGGTTCTAGTAGGTTACTGGGTTGGCAACAGTGTTATAGCATAGTCTGGCACCCCCCCGCCCCATTTCCGGGGGTGAAGTTTGGATGGCATGGTTGTATCCCGAAAAAAGGTTCATCCACTGGAGGTGACATCGGTGTTCATCCTTGGCCGACTCATGTTTTCAACCTGCCCTGCGAAAGTCAATGAGTGCGTCAGAACATGAGAAATCGCTCAATGCCGATCCACCTGTGCACATCTTCTATTTCGATGTACCGCAAATATATATATATATATATAGAGAGAGAGATACACACACAAATAATATAATATAATATAATATAAAATAATATAATATAATATAATATAATATAATATAATATAATATAATATAATATAATATAATCTGAAAACTAGGTTCAGACACAGATGCAATGCAGATGTGTCCCGGCTTGTCCTCAGCCGAAGCTACGTGACATGGCTCAAGTGAGCGCAAAAGAGTGATAGCCGTTGCCAGTGCATTCTTGCACTGGTAGCGGAGCGGGAAAACCGCACGCGACCGGGTGCCTTTGGGAGCCCGATTTTCTTTTCATGCCATGGCTGCTGGCACTTTGCTGGACAGTCTACGTTTTGCCCGCTTCATCCACGATCAGGATGAAGCTGGAGGCGCGGCCACGGAGAGCCGCTACGGAATACCCCGTTACAATGGAGACGCTTCACGACTGACAGAATGGGTGTTCAGGGTGAAGATGTTGGCCGAGAAGGAGAAATCTATCTCCGAGGCCGAGGCAAAGAAGCTTGGGAGCCTACCCTTGAGGCTCGTGGAAGGACTCTCCGGACAAGCCCTGAAGATAGCACAACAGCTGGATGTGAGCAAGCTTGCTGCTGAAGGAGGCGTCGACTACCTGATCGAGAAGATGTCTACAGAACTACGACCTCGACGAATGCAGCAGGCAAGGGAGCTCTACGAAGCTGGAGCTCAGCAGGGCGGGATCCTATCCAGACAAGCTTCTGAGTCGATGGCGCAATACATATTGCGTCGTCGAGCCTGGTACAGGGCCATGACCGACCTCAGCACGGACCTGAAACTTCCGGATTTGGTTCTCAGTGAGCAGTTGTTGTTGAATGCTGGACTGAATGATGACCAAAGGCTCATGATAAGAACCGTGGTTGGCGACAAGATGAACTTTGACCGCGTCGCCGAGGAGCTCGTGAACCAGCACCCCCGCATCCACGAGAAGGGCGCCTACCACCCGTTCCGGAAGAATGAGTACAAGGGATTCCCAAGCTCTTCGCCATCCTCCAAGGGAGGACCCAAGGGATATCGACCGAAGCCGAGGTACTACAACGCATTCCACGCCGAGAGCGTGGAAGACGAGGCTGCCTACCCGGAGATGAATGACGAAGTATATGGAGACGATGGCCCGGACTACCTGAACGAGGAGACCGGCCGCAGTGACTACGAGAACCCCGTCTACTTCTCCGAGGCAGAGATCGGTACCTATGCTGAAGAGCACCTCGCGTATTTATCCGAAAGTGGCTTGGATATTGAGGACCAGGAGGCCTGTGAGTTCGCCTCTGAGCTCATCCAATCCGAGCAGGATGCATACTACGCGAGGAAGGGAGCGAGCCACAAAGGGCATGGGGGCTTCAACAAGGCGAGCCCTCCTCCGTTCGAGATCAGCGGCTCGATCAGCCTGGACGACAAGCGGGCACGCCTTCGAGCCCTCAAAGCTCGTACTACATGCAAACGCTGCGGTGCGGTGGGACACTGGTCAGGAGATTATGAGTGCCCCCTGTCGAAAGGCAAAGGCAAAAAAGGCGGTGGAAAGACCTCTACGAGCACTCCTTCCTCTTCAGGAGCTGGAACCTCACAGCACCCTGGAGCCAAGGGACGGCATGGCAAGCCAAGCCGCCCGCGAACGGTCTACTTTTCCATATCTGAGGCCGCAACAAGCCGCCCTACTGCTCAGCTAGCCTATCGACGAGACCCCGCAAGGCCACCAGCAGCACCGCGAGCAAGCGACGATTGGTCGGTTATGCCATCGACGAGGGCGGTGCCACCGCCCACCTCACTCCTGGAAAACAGCAGCTCTACGACTTCGCCGACGAGGACAACGCCAGAGGAAATCGGCGACAACTGGAGTGTGGTTATTTCCCCGACGACCGAGGAGACGTCGTTGGAAGGAATGTGGCTTCCAATGGATACTGATGACCCGGAGGCGCAGGACCTCCTGGAAGCCCTGACTCAGGACGCTTTGGTACCAGAACCTCGAATGCTCAACGAGAATGCCCTGGCGACGACTGCAGCTCTACCTCTTCATGATCGAGTACGACCAGAACAGACCACAACGACAACAGCAATACCTCTTCCTGATCGAGTCCGACCACAGCAGACCACAACGACGACAGCAATACCTCTTCCCGATCGAGTACCACCAGCACGTGCCCAAGAAGGTGCAGAGCGCATCTCTACAGGACCGACCACGGCGGCCCCAACGACCACATCCACTCCTCCATCGAATACCTCAGGATCCACTGAAGGACGAAGAGAATGCCAGCACCTACGAACCACAGCTCATGGATCCAACAGCTTTGTTCACCAAGTCAAATGCAAGGATTGCGGGTACATCATCTCCCGCACACGACGAGATCTCCCAGCTACGACTACGCCAGGAACCTCCTCGACAACGACCGCGTGCCAACACCACTGGACCACCTGGCGAGGCTCCAATGGATCCATGCGCATTCGGACTTGCCGAGATTGTGGACATCGAGAGCGTTTTGCAGTGACCGGGCCACCAACCGGAACGTCAGAAACCCGGCAACCACGCGAGGACCAACCACCGCGCCACGACCTCCACGACGAGAACAGCGTGCTCACCATTGACCGCATTCCCGGTGTCCTCCAGACGTTCCAAGACTTGGTGGTGAGGCGCGTGCAGGAGCTGGAGAGTGGAACCGAGGTACCCACAAGACGACTACACGAGGCCCTCGACCTCTCCATCGCCACGGCCACTACGTGGAACAGTAGAATGAGCGGACCAGCCGGATCTTCAACGACAGTTTTCGGCACCTCCTCTACTACAAGACCCCACGGCGGTGGAAGACGGTATGGCGAGTCCGATCACTACCACAACCTCAAGGCCCGAGGACTAAAGGTCGTGGAGATGGGACGCTACAAGCACGGACAGTATGCCGAAGCCTATGCCGACACGGCCTACCGAAAATGGGTTTTGGACAACATCGGCCCGACCAGTGCTTCCGGAATGAAGGCCATGAGAAACTACTTCGAGGAACGACAGAACTACGAGTCACGACCGGATGCAATGGCCCTCATGGCAATCCACGACCACTCCGACCACATCGAGGAGCACGACCTCATCGCCATCTTGGACACGGGATGCAACCAAACATGTCATGGAGATAGATGGCTGGAACGTTATGTCAAGGCCACCAAGCAGCAGCTTCCCGAAGCCGACACGACTTCGGAGGTCCGCATTCGCGGCATCGGAGGACAAATCAGAACCTCCGGAACGAGGAAGCTACCTTTGATCCTGGAACTAGTGAATGGCGGCCTGGCGCAAGGTGACCTCACGAGTACAGAGCTCCTCGACTCTGACGCCCCGCTCTTGATCTCTATGCAGGCCCAGAGAGCTCTCGGACTGATCATCGACATTGCCGGTGAAGTGGTGCACTCCCAAACCTTGGGCCACGACCTCAAGCTAGCCTATAAGGATGGGCTGCTTGGCGTACGACTTCTACCTGTCGGAGAAGAGCAGAGGAGCCGGAAACGGCACCACGTGACGATCATCCAGGAGAAGAGTCTGCCGGAGATGATGAGGAGCTTATTCCGGCGATGCCAGCCGACGGCAAGGGTGACGACGCCGAGAAGGAGGTCGCCTACTACACGTTCGATGCTGAAAAGGCCCGGGTGATGAACAAGACCCAACACTTTCGTGTGAAAGAAGGCGTGGACGGAGTCAAGTCGAAGGACCGTCACATGTGGAACCAAATCAAGCCCAGCCGACAACGCCGACATCATGAACTACCACGAGGATGCAAGACCTTTCTACTTGAGGTGTTTGCCGGAGCCGCGATGCTGACCCAGATGGCTCTTCACGAATGGTCTATGCCGGTTACGCCTCCGGTGGATTTGAACACCGGCTACGACCTGCTCACTAAGCAGGGTCGCGACGAGGTGGACCGGATCATCGCACGCGACGACCCCTTCGCCATCACCTTTGCGCCGGTATGCACACCTTGGACGTCATGGACCAACATCGCCACCGGCACTACGAGGAGTAAGATCATGGCCGAGCGCAAGAAGTGGCAGCCTGCCCTGGCTTGGATGTATGACGTGGCCAAGGACAGACTGTCAAAAGGGCGACATGTTGTCATCGAGAACCCTTGGAACTCAGCCATGTGGGATTGCGTGCAATCTCAACGGTTCTTCAGAGCCAATCCTCGCGACGAGGCCACGCTCGAGCCCATGGAGTGTGTGAAAGTGGATCAATGTATGCTGAGTCTCAAGGACGACATCAACCACCTCCCGCACCTCAAGCCTACGGGTTTTCTCACGGCCTCGTCGGAGGTTAAAAGACGACTGGTTGGAGCCCATTGCGATGGCTCTCACCTACACCAACAGTTGGATACCAAGAAGCGCTGCATGGCAGCGCAGAAATGGCCGCGAGACCTGTGCAAAGCGCTTCTTCAAGGCTTGGCCGCCGAGCTCGACTACCTTATCACCATGGTGGCTTTCCCGGCGGAGGCTCACACTGAGCTTGAAGTGATGTCGGACGACGAGGGCGAGGAGAACACCTACCTGGACGGGATCCACCAGCCAAGCGACTTCGCCTACGATGATGGCCAGGACTACGCCGCAACAAAAAAACAAGAAGAGTGGGAGATTATCTATGACGAAGGCGAAGTACCACCTCCTCCGCAACCTGTCGGAGATGCTCTTGAACGACGGCAACACCAATGGCGACAGCTACCTTACAACACCCGAGTTGCCCTTCGCAGGTTGCACAACATGACCGGACATGCACCACCTTCGGCAATGCAACGACTACTACGGACAGCTGGAGCAGACGCCAATGCTATCAAGGCTTTGGACAGCTTTCGATGTGCTACTTGCGAGGCCAAGAAGGTACCAGACCGACCTTCTCCGGTCAAAATGCCCGAGGAATACCGCTTCAATAAGGCGGTGTCTCTCGACGTGTTCATCGTGAAGGACACACTGAACAAGAAGTACAAAGTGATGTCTGTGGTGGACCTTGGCACTCTGTTTCATGCCGCAGTGATTGTTGGTGAAGGAGGAGGCCCACCTAGCTCAGGAGACATGGCTAAGGCGATGCAAATGATTTGGTTTTCCTGGGCAGGGCCCCCGGAATCGATAGTTCTGGACAGAGGGCTAGAAAATCGAGGGCAACTCCAAAAGTTGATGACGGCTCATGGCGTACAACTACGCTACATTGGAGTCGAGAGTCCGTGGCAGCTAGGCCGAGGTGAACGACATGGCGGCCTCTTGAAGGAAGTGATCAAGGCTGTGGTTACTTCACGGCAACTACGTGGAAGACAGAACATGGAGTTTGTAGTGACCGAGTCAGTGGGCATCAAGAACCACCGGGTGAACCACAACGGCTTTTCACCGTCCCAATGGGTACTTGGACGCAATCCGCCTGATCTGGAATCACTCACTACTCTCCTCCCAGAAGCCAAACTTGGAGTCCACCAGGAAATCCTCGACGGGGAGACCAGTTTTGCCCAGCAGATGATGATTCGTGGAGCAGCCAAGGAAGCCTTCTCACGGGTGGACAGCTCCCAGCGAATCAGAGCAGCGATGTTGAGGAAAAGTGTTCCTGGACGCGGACCGTTCCACATGGGAGATTTGGTCTGTTTCCATCGACGACAAGGAAGCAAGGCCGGATGGAAATGGTTTGGACCGGCGAGAGTGATTGGCCAGGAAGGCAGAAGCACCCTCTGGGTCTGTCACGGGGGAATCCCGATGACAGTGTCCACTGAACAATGCCGACATGCTACTGGGACTGAGATGATGGCAAAAAGGATGCTGGAGTTGAGACCTTCCAGAAAGAGGCGAAGAGAAGATATGGCACCAGATGTGGATGATGCTGGAGCAATGAACGACGACCCTTTCCTTGACGACCTCATTGGAGTCGGCACGGTCGCCGAAAACCAGCAACAGGGTTTCTTCGACCTCAGCGATGCCTCCGGTACTCCAACGCCGGCACCCGATGAGCCAGAAGGCCCGAACGGACAGGAGATACCCGGACTTCATCCACCACCACCTGGACTCTCTCCTCTCGAGCCTGGACAGGCTAGTCAGTTAGATGATAACGGGCAGGAGATACCCGGACTTCAAGCACCACCACCTGGTCTCTCTCCTGATGTTAATCAAGTTCAACAGCCACATCTTGGGGGTCCCGTACATGTTCAACAGCCACATCTTGGGGGTCCCGTGCAAGATATGCCAGATGTCCCAGACAGCGATGTTGGATCGCCCTCTATGTCTACGGCAGAGCCTGAACAGGAATTAGTTCCACCAAGCCGTGACATCAGTGGCCAACCTGATCTACTACCACCTTCGTCTTCAACAGCGAACCGATCGAGCACTAGCCGAGCACCTGAACCGCTTCGACCTCTACAACAAGCTCTCCGGATCTCTCCAGACGCCCTAGATGGTCATCCTCGCAATCGACACCGCTCGAGATCACCACCGCGAGCGATGATGACAATCGGCGAGAATCCGGAGGTTGGCAAGTGTCTTCATGGATTTCTCGCGAGGCGACTCAACAAGAAAAGTGCTGCTGCGAGGGCCAAGGAGTTGAACTTCACGAAAGCAACTGGAGAGGAAAGAGATGGGATACAAGAGGCCAGGAAGCGTGAATGGGGCAATTGGCAAGGGTTCGATGCGGTGGAAGTCATTCCGCCAGAGAAGGTGCAAGAGACGTTGGCCGCCAACCCGGAAGCGGAGATTACGCCCACTCGGTGGGTAGACATCAACAAAGCGCAACCATGGCTTCCTCCAAAGTACAAGTCACGGATAGTTGTGCGAGGAGATCTTGAAAGCGGTGCCTCTACGAGAACGGACTCACCAACCTGTTCTGCGACCATGCTCGGGCTGCTCTTATCCTTCACGGCGAATCGACGACTACAACTACGCGGAGGAGACATTACTGCCTCCTTCCTGCAAGGCGAGAAGCTGGTGCGAGTTCTTCTGCTCAAACCTCCACCTGGCGGCCTACCTGGAGTACCTGAAGGATCACTACTGAGGGCCCTGAAGCCAGTGTATGGAACTCGGGACGCACCAAGAGGCTTCTTCAAGCGACTTCACAACGTGGCTGTGGCACAAGGACTACGAGCTCTTCCACATGAGCATGCAGCTTACGTTCTTCAAGATGAGACCGGCGTACAAGGGATGATGGTGGCACATGTTGATGACCTTTTATGGTCAGGAACTGGCAAAATGGACAAGGTCATGGACGCGATCACCAAAGAATTCAAATTTGGGACTTTGGAGTTCGGAAGCCAGTTCGACTACTGTGGCAGAACCATCGCCCAAGAAACCGAAGGCATTCGGGTGACATGCCCTAACCATGCCTCAAAGGTTCGACCTATTCCTCTTGAGGTCTGGAGACGCCGACAGAAGGACGCGAAGATCACCGAACCGGAACGTGAGCAACTTCGGAGCGTGGTTGGAAGCTTGAGTTGGATGGTGAGAGTGTGCAGGCTGGACATAGCCTATGAGGTGAACTACCTGCAGGCAGTGATGCAACAAGCTGTCGTGGCAGACCTGATCGCGTGCAACAACCTGCTCTCCTATGTGAAGAAGACAGCGGACCGTGGACTATTCTATGCCTACAACGCCTTCGACGAGCAGGATCAGGTTATCTACAGCATCACTGACGCCTCGCATGCCGCCGACTTCGACGTTTCCACTACCGGCACTCCCATGGGAAGCAGATCACAATCAGGGCGCATTTTGGCCCTGGGTTCCCGTAAGATCCTCGAGACCGGCAAGGGCACCATTCATATCATTGAGTATCACTCATGTGTACTCAAGAGAGTGTGCAGAAGCACACTTCAGGCGGAAACGCAGAGCCTTATAGCAGGGTACGAAGAAGGAGAGCATTTGCGTGCTCTCATGTGGGGCATGAACAACGACTACCACGACAAGGGCCTCATTGGAGCTATGGATCATATGACCCTGGCAATGTTAACAGATTGCCGAAGCCTGGAACAACACCTACGCCAACCCGGCCTTAGTACGGTAGCAGACAAACGTCTGGCTATCGACTTGAGCTCAATGAGGCAGCTTATCTGGAGAAAAAAGGGTGAACTGGTGGGCGACCCACTGCTCACCGACGAACCTCCAGAGGAGGCTACCACAGTGGTGAAGTGGATTGACACTTCAACCATGTTGTCAGACGGTCTGACCAAAAAGATGAAGAGCAACCAGATTGACCAGGTGATGCTCAAGGGCACAATGGAGATTAGTTTCCAAAAGGTGCTCAGCAAACCGGCTGAGGCCAAAGAAAAGTTAGGAGTCTGAAAACTAGGTTCAGACACAGATGCAATGCAGATGTGTCCCGGCTTGTCCTCAGCCGAAGCTACGTGACATGGCTCAAGTGAGCGCAAAAGAGTGATAGCCGTTGCCAGTGCATTCTTGCA